GAGTACCTTGGAGGTGAGGAGGAGCTGGGGGAGGGGTGAAACTATCCTTTACTAAATTTGGTTTTCCAACTTGGGATGGTGTTGCTGACTCACATTCTCTAGGGATCAGGTTGAAAAAAAAAGCTTTAAAGTTTAAAAAAAACTTTGATGCTTCATTTGCTTAGTATCTCAGCAGAGAATTAATCAAGAAACTATTTGGAGAACTTGTACCCAGCTGGAGACTTCCACCCCACAGGGGGCAATGGGTCTCAGTGCCCAGGGAGGGCCCTATATTCCCAAGCATCGTCCTGCTCCTTGTTCTTATGGTGTTTCCACTTTCTGAGGGTTTTTTTTTTTGTTTCTATTTTTGAACCACCAACCCAACTTGTACTTACCACTTGGAAGCAATTACGGAGCTCAGAATGGGCATCCAGAAAGAATGCCTTGCAGAGTTTGGAAGAAGCAGCCCCAGGACAGACCTCTGCTTTCCTTCTCTGGGTCCTGCACTCACCATCCACCTAATGGAGTAAACACAAACATTTTCCAAAGAATAATAATGACTCCTCATTTGGTCCTCACAACACTGCAAGATAAGTACTACTGGTATTATTCTCATTTTATAGATGAAGAAATTGGGGGTTCTAAGATGTTAGGTGATTTTTTTCCCAGGGTCACACAGCTTGTAAATAACAGAGCTTGGATTTGAAACTAAGATCTGTGAGTAGGAATTGTTTTAGTCTTTGCATTTGTATTCTTGGCACCTAGTACAGTGCTTGGCACATGACAATTACTTAATAAAGACTTGTTGATTTTTTTTTTTTTATTGTGCTTAGGATATTTCAGTTTCTGGTGAAAACCAGAACTTAAGAGCCTGGGAAAACTTACAAGATGCCATCTATGACATCTCAGATCTGCTACTTATACCATGTGACCTTGAGCAAAGTCATCTGACCTTTAGTTTTCTCCACAATAAATCAAGGTGGCCCTCAAAATCATTGTAAGTATGATTATTGAGAAGCCCAAGTAATGGAGAGGTGGTCTCCAGGTTGTCTGATGGGCTGCAATCAGCCCAGTCATTAAAACATTTGCAGTTTGCTCTGAAGGCTCAGCTAGGTATAGAGTGAATAGAGTACAAAACTTGGAGTCATCTTCCTAAGTTCAAATCCAGCCTTAAATACTTATTAGCTGTGTGACCCTGGGCAAGTCACTTTACCCTGTTTGCCTCAGTTTCCTCATCTGTAAAATGACCTGGAGAAGGAAATGGCAAACCACTCCGGTATCTTTGCCAAGAAAACCCTAAATGGGGTCACGGGGAGGAGCCAGTAGGACACAACTGAACCGACTCAACAAAAAACCCAACATGCTCTGCATTCTGCTAATCCAAATGAAAGATGCAGATTTATACTCCCCAGATTGAACCTAGTCACTAAATCTACCTAAAGTTTCATCTCAGGACCATGGATTATTCTTCCAAAAAAAAAAATCCATGATTTCACAAGTTTGGATATTTTCTCCTCCAAATTCAGATGACAGCTCTATATCTCAGACAATTTTCATGAATTTCTTTGGCCCCCAGAGTTCACCACCCAGTGATCAGCCTTCTGGTCGTGAATTTCTCAGCTTAGCAGAGCTGGTTATTGGATGACAGACCCAAGGTCTAGTGCTAGGCCTATACTTAAAGCCACCTTGCCTTTGTAAGAACCTCGCAGAGCACAGATTCATTCTGCTGTCATAGCTCTGGAGACTCCAGCATCACCTCCATCCCACAGTGCAGCACTGGGATAAGGTTTTAGTAGGTAACAGACTCCTGTTCATTTGTATAATTTACTAAATACAAAGAAAAGGGAATTCATCCCCCCCCCCCCCAATACCTGTGCTATATAGAGATGAGGCTTTGTGCACTAAAAAAATTTAAAAAGCCCTCCGATTCTGGTGGGTTATAGCTATTTAACTGTTCTTGGTTTCTTGTAAAGACACTGTGACTGAGCTTTTCATGGCTTTTGACAGAGTAGCAAAGGCTCCCACAGGAGGGAGGGAGAGAGAGAAATTGATTGATTTCCCTCCAGACAGAATTTTTCTTACTCCTAATATCACCCTGCCTCACTTTCTCCATTTCCAGTAGAATCATTGATTTAGAACTGGAAGGCACTAGAGACCAAGTAGTCCAACCCCCTTATTTTACAGAGGGAGAAACTGAGGCATTGGATCTTAAGTGAAGAGCTGGAAAGGACCATGGAGACTATCTAGTTTAACCCCTTCATTCTGTCACACAGATAAGAGGCAGAGCTAGGATTTGAACCCAGCTCCTCTAACACCAAATCTAACACCATTTTCACTGTATACCTCTGATTCTTATAGTGGATCTTTCTGGGGGTAGTCCTAAAGGCCTAGCACAGAGGGAGATGGGTGGTGCAATGGATAGAGCACTGGGCCCAGAGTCAGGAAGACCTGAGTCTAAATCCAGCCTCAGACATTTATTAGCTGAATGACCCTGGGCAAGTCACTTAACCTCTGCCTCAGTTTCCTCAATTGTAAAATAAGGATAATAGCACCCATCTAGCAGGGTTGTGCTATTAGATCAAATGTGTGTAACTGAAATAAGATAATATTTGTAAAGCATTGAGCATAGTGCCTGGCATATGGTAGAAGCTTAATACAACCAAGCAGCCTTAAAGACTTTGTTGTTCCAACTCTTTGTGACCTCATTTGGGGTTTTCTTGGCAAAGACAGTGGAGTGGTTTGCCATTTCCTTCTCCTGCTCATTTTAAACTGAGGCCAACAGGGTTAAACGATTTGCCCAGGGTCACACAGCTAGTATCTGAGGCCACATTTGAACTCGGGAAGATGAGTCTTCTTTGCCTCCAGGCCTGGCGCTCTATCCACTAAACCACCTAGCTGCCCTATTAAAGACTTGCCCTGTATTATCAGAGGACAAACCTGATCTAATAGGAACTTGGAGACGCCTTCTGGTGAGTCAGAAAACTTTCCTGGAGGACCTGCTCCCTGCACGCCCTCAATGGGGAGTGTGAGACTGACCTGCCATGCCTCAATGAATTCATCCAGGTTTCCTGCCAGAGAGCCATTTGGGAGCACCAGGTCATTGCCCGCCTCATTGTCATTGGTGCCCAAGATGCCTGCCGACATACCTGTGGAGAGAGACCAGAGAGCAAGGCTGGGTGAGGAAGAGGAGCTGACTTGAGGGGGGGGCATGAATACCTATTGAGTCTTCTGTCCCACCGTAGAGGATCTTGGTGTTGAAAGGGAATGGTAAAAGCTAGGGACTCTTGAATCTGAGTCAAATTCTGCCTAGATACTTACTAGCTGTCTGAGCCTGAGCAATGACATAGCACCAGCTTGTAGTCAGGAAGACCCAAGTTCAAATGTGCCCTCGAACAGTCACTAGCTGTGTGACAGTGGGCAAGTCGCTTAACCTCTGTTTGCTTTAATCCACCGGAGAAAGAAATGGCAAACCACTCCGGTAACTTTGCCAAGATCCAAATGGGGTCACAAAGAGTCAAGCAACTCTTCTTCAAGAACTCAACAACATTCGTACAGCACCTGCACGTTTATGAAGCCCTTCACGTGTATTACCTGATTTGTTCCTCACAACAAACTCGGTAAGGGAGGTGTTATTGTCCCCATTTTACAGATGAGGATGCAGAGATCGCACAGTCGCTAAAGTGACTGAAGCAGAATTTGAACTCCACTTTCCCCGACTCCAAAGTCTAGTACTCTCTCTGCTATGCCACTTCAACCTCAGTTTCTTCATTTGTAAAATGATGGAATTGGACTCGAGGGCATCCATAGTCCGGTCCCTTTAAGCTCCAAGTCTATGATCCCGTGACTGGAGGCTTTCCTGGGCTCCGGGCAGTAACAGATCCAATGGCTTTCAGTAAGGTCGAGGGGGTACGGGCTGTTGGCGTTCACGTAATATACTTTATCTCAGTTGATTCCCAGGATAACACCTACGATATTATGGCAAGCATCCTTCACTTCTATTTTACAGAAAAGGAAACTGAGGTTTGGCAAGATTGAATGATTTGTCCAGTATTATACAAAGGACTTAAACCCAAATCCTTTTTTTTTCTTTTTTTACTCCAAACCCAATGTTCTTCCTATTCTCCTATTCAGTCACAATATCAAATTAACTTGAGTCTGGACCATATGATAACTGAGGAGGTGGGGTGTGTTTGGTAGGCTGGTAGGGCAGGGACCTGAATGTTGAAAAGGGACCCAAACAGATCTACTAGCACATACCTAGAAATGTGTGCCAACACCTGGGTGACATACTAATGTCCACACCCACGTATAGACCCTTTTTGAGGAAATATCTCCTGCTTCTGCGCTGTCTCACCTATGCCTCCCAGAATCCCCAGCTTCCTTTAAGACTCAGCTCTGACCTCTGTGGGTCATCTGTCCTGGTCCCCTCCCTCCTGCCAGCTACCAAAAACCTTCTTTGCTCAGCTTGTCTTCCATCTACTCCATCTGTATCCTATATATACCTGCCTATCTGTAGACCTTTTGTAGCCCCTATTAGAATGTAAGGCCTGGGGACTAATTTTGCTTTCTCTTTGTCCCCCTATTATTACATTGGCATGTAATAATAGCACCTAATAAATGTTTATTGGTTGAATGAACTCCTAGCACACACCTGGAGTGCCAACACCTGGGTGACCTACTAATGACTTACTCCACACCAAGAACACCACACTCCCCCCCCCCCATACTAGCCTTTTTATTCTTCCTCATATGAAATTCAATCTCTTGATTCTGTATCTTTGCACAGACCATCCCCTTGCCCCCATTCCTGAAATGTACCTCTTCATTAGCATCTCTGGTTTTTTCAACATTCAGCGCAAGTGCCACATTCTATATAAGGCTTTTCCTGGTCCCCCCACCCCCCAAAATTTTCTTTTGATACACATGTATGTTGTCTTCCCCAGCTAGAATGTGAACTCCTACAGGACCCCTTCGGGCCATGATTCATACCCCTATACTTGAAGACCCAGATTGCAGAACCTGAAGTTATGGAGAGAGCAAAATCATAGAGAAATCCCTAAGATGAAAGGATTCCTAGGAAAAACACTTCTTTATCTGCCAGACTTGAGTGTATATCATATCTAATCTTAACTCAATCTAAATACACCCTCCCTTCCTCCACCCCAGATGCAATTTCTCGGATGTGCTCATATGATAGAAATGCTTGACTCGCTTTCTTTTAGGGACTTAACGTGTCTTGGAGTATTTGATTTAAAGAAAGAGACAACTTGGGACATGATCACTGTCTTCAGACATCTGAAGGGCTGTCATGGAGGAGGATTAGGCTCATTCTGCACAGCTGCAGAAGGCATTGCCAGGATTCAGTGGGTGGAGTTGCCAAGAGGGAACAATAAAATCTAGCTATAGGCTCATGAGATCATAGACCAGAGCAGGAAGGTGCCTTTTGAATCATCTTGTCTAGGCCCTTTGTACAAATGCAAAACTGAGGCCCTTGAGATATAAATGACTTGGCTAGATTCACAGAAATACTGTAATTAATGACTTCGTCCAACAGTGTGATAGGATGCTGACCCCTTCTTTGCTTTTTATGCACATGCCATTACCATAGTTCAGGCCCTTATCACTCTTGCCTGGGTCATTCTGACAGATTCCTAATTGATTTCCCTTCCTCAATTTTTATCCTCCTCACAGCTGACAAAGTGATATTCCTAATGCCTTTGTAGATATTTTGTATTTATTTATATTACATCATACCCGTCACTTCCCCCATGAAATGCAAATACCCTGAGGAGAGGGACTACTTTGTTTTGCCTTTGTATGCCAGTGCCTAGCACGCGTTCCCCTCCCTGATTTTTTTTTTTTTTGACTAGGTTTTCGACTTTTCCTCATTTCCTACCTAGCCTTAATCACTAAATGGGCATGGCAAGGCAAACTAAGACCTGGGAAAGACCTTAGCTTAAAAAGGCTAAGGTCTCCCACTGCATGGGGCCATCTCCGGTGGTCCTGATCTATATCTTGCCACTGGGCTCAAAAGGAGAGACTGAGGCTGATGAATTTGCACAACCCTGCCTCACTTAAATCCAATTCACTTGCAAGTCATGGCATCATGTTCCTGATGTCATGGTCCTCTTCGAGAATGAAGGACGAACAACATCAACAGCCTAGCACATAGTAAATTATTACTAAATGCTTGTGGGCAAATTGACTGCAATGACTTCCCTATCATTGGAACTGCACAAGATGTGGCTAGATCACTGCCTACCTGCTGAAGATGTGGAGATTACTGCATTAGTAGAAAGGTTGAACTAGAAATCAGAGGTGGCAAATGCATAGCCGGCAGCCCCCAGAATTCCCGAGTGTGGCCAGGGACCAGATTAAAGTGGAATTGGGAAATATTTGACAAAATTAATCAAAATACAACACAACATAGATAATGTTATTTTGTGGTTTTCTAAGTCAATATGCACTGCATTTGATACCACTGAACTAAGTGACTTCTAAGATCTCTTCCAACTCAGAGGTTATGTGATTCTGTTCAATCACCAATATTTCCCTAACTTTGTCTGTCTTAGATTTGTTGTTGTTTGGTTGCATCAGTCACGTCTGGCTCTTTGAGGCCCCATTTGGGGTTTTCTTAGCAAAGATACTGGAGTGGTTTGCCATTTCCTTCTCCGATTCATTTTTCAGATGAGGAAACTGAGGCAAATAGGGTTAAGTGACTTACCCAGGGTCACACAGCTAGTAAGTGCCTGAGGCCAGACTTGAAATCAGGAAGATGGATCTTTTTGAGTGTAGGCCCAGTTCTCTATCTACTGTGCCACCTAGCTGCCCAGTTTAGATTATAATTTCAAATTATGTCTTAGATTATAAACCCCCAAAGGGTGGATATCCTTATCTGTGGCGTTCTTTCCAAAGAATTCCCAGTGCAATAGATGATTATAATTTTGTGATAATGGTAATGATGATCACAGCCTGTGTTTGTCACAAAATTGTGTAAGGTGGGAGCCAGACCTTTGTCATGCTCCTAGGAGTCCCAGGACCCAACTTAAGAAATCCAAAATCCCACTAATAGAAATAAAGATTTGAAAACATTAGGCTAGAGACAAAGATATCTTGGCCCCAATGATGCTTAAGTGAAGACTTACCATGATTCCAGCCATCCAGTGTCATACTACAGAGATCAGACTGAATATCGCAGGAGACTGTAGCACCATTCTCATTGGATAATTCTATTTTATGAACTTCTTTTCTCCCATTGGCCCTGACTTTGGCAGGTAGTGGATCCAAGCCCAGACAATTCTCTCCCAACGAGGAAGAATCATCTATCTTGTAGATCTATGATTTGGACAAAGGAATAGAAAAGAATATCTTTAAAATTTGGGTGTCTAATGGGGAGGAGAGCCTTCAAAGGAGGCAGAATATAGCCCTACTAACAGAAAAAGGGCCTTTGGATAGCAGCCACACACATTAATGCAGAACTGTGAATTGGTTCAGCTCTTTTGGGAAGCAATTTGGGAAGACTTCCAAAAAATCTCTAAACTGTGTGTACCTTGTGACTCAGTAATACCACTATTGTACCTTAAATAGTCGAGGAACGAGGGAAAAGACCCAGAGGAATAAAAATACTTAGAGCAGATCTTTCTGTAGTGGCAAGCAGCTAGAAACTAAGAGGGGGCAGCACTTGGGAAGTGGCAGAACAAATTGTATTAACATAATGGAATACTATTACACTGTGAGAAATGATGAAAGTGATGTTTAAAATAAAAATACAATACAATGTAGACAATGCTGTTTTGTGGTTTTCTGAGTCAATATGCATCGAACTAAGCATTCAATACCACTGAAGTAAGTGACTTCTAAGCTCTCTTCCAACTTTGAGATAAAAAGATCAAAGAAACCTGAGAAAACTTGCATGAACAGATGCAGAGTGAAGTGAACAGAGCCGGGTGGAAAACTTGCAGACTAAGGACATTGTGAAGACAACTTTAAAAGACTTTAGATATTTGATCAGTTGCAATGACCAACCATGATTCCAGAGGACCACTGATGAAGCATCATTCCATCTTTCTCTCCTGATGGAGTGTTAATGGATTCAAGATACAGGATGAAACATACATTTTGGCACATGGACAATAAGGGAATTTGTTTTGCTTGACTACGCATATTTGTTACGAGGTTTTCTTTATCTTTTTTAAAATTGGGGTGGGGAGCTTGGAAGAGAAAGAAAATACTATAAATACTTGTTAATTAAAAATAAAATAAAAAACAGCAGCCACAGCTGCTATCCAGGGAACAGCATAGATATGTCTCTAGGGGGATGGATTGTTGGTATTGTTTGAGGTTCTGCAGTGATGTGTGTAATTATGCTTTCAGCAGCAGCAGCCTTTTGAGATGAGGTCCGAAGAGATTCGTATGGGAAATGTTCATCACAGGAAACATTCGAAAACAGTCCAACATTAGCCTGGTTAATGTTCAAGGATCAATACACAACAGAGAATCAGAGGTGTGATCACACCTTTGCAAATCACCTTAAGTGTGTGATTACCACTGAACGACAAATATTATCCAGCCTCTGGTTAAGGCTTTCGTTATTAAATATTAGGTCAGAGCTGTAACTAGTGCAGAACACACATGGCTTTGTTTCAAGTATTTATATAACTCCCTCCACTGACATGGAGGGGAGTGTATTTCCTCCCAACAATGAACAGTCCTCCACTACGTCCCCTTGGCCCATTTTGACTGCCTTCTGTGCTCTAGCCTGCACCACCCCAGACTTTTGTTCCCCAGGTGAAAGAATTCCTAATTATGGCTCTGCATTAGTGGTTACAGATGTATAATGAATAGTCATCCACAAAGCATCTTTTGCCTACCCACAGCCTGGCAGCTCTTGCCTTGGCTTTCCCATAATAGATCTTATGCTAAGTGATCCCAGCATCTGATGAATGCTTTCTAATAAGTCAAAGGTAAAGGATGATGCTTGGTCCCAGAATATCCCTCCTACATCTGCCACATTCCTTCATGTTTATATCTCCAAGTCACAGAGCCCTGAGCTCTAGGTAGTGAGGGTGGGTGCCTGTTAAAAAGATTAGGATAGGAGGAGCTATCATCTTGTAAGAGGTCTTCTCCAGTGCCCTCAGTGCTAAGGCTAATGCCCATCTACTCTGTATTTTGTATGTACCTATTTGTAGACACGTTTACTCTTGAAGGCAGAAGGTTGTTTTTTTTTTTTTTTTTTTCCATTAATATCTTCAGGATAGGGCAGCTAGATGGTGCTAGGGGGTGAATAGAATACAGCTCTGGGCCTGGAGTCAGGAGGACATGAGTTCAAATCCAGCCTCAGACACTTACTAGCTGTGTGACCCTGGGCAAGTCACTTAACCCTGTTAGCCTCAGTTTTCCCATCTGTAAAATGAACTGGAGAAGGAAATAGCCAACCACTCCAGCATCTTTGCCTAGAAAACCCCAAATGGGGTCACAAAGAGTCAGATGTGACAAATGACCAAACAACAACAAAAATCCCCAGGGCTTAGCATAGTGCCCAGAACATAGTAAGCACTTAATAAATGCTTGTTAATTCATAGATTTAAAGCTAGAAGGTACCTCAGAGGCCATTTACTTCAACTCTCTCATAGATGAGGAAAGTGAGGCCCAGAGACGTTACATAGGCAGTGGGTGGCAGGGACAGAATTAGAATCTAGGTCCTCAGCCTCTAGTACTGATATTTTTTTTCACTGTACTATGATCTAGTACATTCTCAGTTATCCATATCTGATTAGTTGTAGTAATTTTTCTCTCCCCCAATTGGCTTCCACCCTTACTGCCCAACATAGCCTTAGATTGTTCTCCCCTCCTCTCTGCCCCCCATAATGGTTGATGTGCGCCAGAAAATGTAAACTCATTTTAATGTTGGCCTCAGCCAAAGAGTAGACAATAAATACTTGTTATGAAGGCAAACTGGCAACATTCCAAAGTCAAATACTCTATAAATTACTTTTGGATTATCTGCTGTTTTGGATTATGCTGGATCTTTGCCCTCTCTGGGAATGGGGCCCAATGGGTGTGATCAGAGGCAAATTAACAAGTTCTAAGGGAGGAAACATGCCAGAGGGGGAAGGGGTATATTCGAAGGCATCATCCAAAAATACAAACAGAATGCACTTTCACACAGGTCACTCAGTCCAACCGCACTGGCTTCTTTAAAAGGATTGGCAAGTCTTTACAAGGGAGTTGGGAGCAATGAGTAGTGTCTCACACTTCACCCAACAGCCTAGACCCTCTTCTCTCCACTATGCCAGCATCACAGTATGGCCAGAAACCATACCCAGCCTCTACTCCTTGTGCCTCAACACCTCACTGGAACTTGAGGCTGTAGCTTGATGGAGAATCTCCACCCTAGGGTCATAGGATCCCAGAGTTAGAACTGGAAGGGTCTTTAAGATTCCAACTCCTTCATTTTACCAATGAGGAAACTGAGGCACTAAAAAGTTCAGTGACTTGCCTGTGATCATACAGCTAGTGTCTAAGGAGGGATTTGAGCATAGGTCTTACTCATTCTAAGGTCATTGTCCTATCCAGTACACAAAACTACTTAATTCTCGTGCATGCTCGGCATGCCTTGGCTCCCATGTTTCTTTGGGCTAATAACAGAGCGAAGGAGGCCCCAGTGCCTCCTTGCATCTAGAATCTTCCCCTGCCTGCCCATGATTAGCAAGGAGAAGACCAAGATTGATCACATATCGTTTGCAAGTCAAGGTGGCCCAGTCACAAAGGCTGGTAGAACACAGAGTTGATGAGCAGTGAAAACATTAACCTTATCTCAAAGCCATTAGGTTTTTGATTTTTTTTTAACCATCTGAGTGATGGGGCGGGTTCCTATCATGAACCAATTTTTCCAAAAGCTATTAGTACATAGTGTTTGGTCGGGGGGAATAGATCAGATAGGTCTGATTACCCTATACCCAAGGCCTTAGAGGTGAGTGGGGTGTATGGAATGGGAGCACCTAGTGGCAACTGAAATAGAATTTGCATGGTTGCCCATAGGATACCCTGCAAACCAGCCTGGGCATCCTCTAACCCAGGTAGCTATCAACCATAGAAAGGGTCCTACAATATATGGAGTGAGTGCAGGGTCAATTAGGGACAGAGACTATGATTCATGTAAAAAGTACATATTTCGGGTGGGTAAGTAAACTGCATTTTTATATCAAAATTGCCTGGTGGGGCAGTAGTAGGATGTGTCTGGCTCTTAATGGGGTTTTCTTGGCAAAAAAAAGGAAACTGAGGCCAATGGGGATATGCCCAGGATCACACAACTAGTAAGTATCTAAGGCCAGATTTGAACTCAGAAGGATGAGTCTTCCTGACTTCAGGCCTGGTACTCTATCTACTGTACCATCTAGCTGCCCCTATGTGTTGCAAATTTAATGTGTATGCTATATTAATCCCGTATATGCTATCTTATGCATTTAAAAACATCAGCACTGTGCCTGGCACATAGTAGGTGCTTAATAACTGTTTATAGATTAATCATTCTGGGAAGGGTCTGTGGGCTTTACCAGACTAGCAAAGGGGTCATTGACCCCAATAAAGGTTAAGAACCCTTACTTACAGAAGCAAAGGGTCTGGTTTTAAATCTTACCCCTAACACTTAATAGCCGTGTGCTTCGAGTAAGTCATTTAATTTCTTTCTTTCTTTTTTTTTTTTGGTTGAGGCAATGGGGTTAAGTGACTTGCCCAGGTCACACAGCTAGTAAGTATTATGTGTCTGAGGCTGGATTTGAACTCAGGTCCTCCTCCACTGCACCACCTAGCTGCCCCTAAGTCATTTAATTTCCCCGGGGCCTCATTGTCTTTATATATAAAATGAGGAAATGGAAGTCAACAAGCATTTAAGTACTTACTGTGCAGTAAGCATTGTATTAAGTGTGGGAATATAGGGAGGGAAAGCCCCAAAAAGGCAAAATTATATGGTGTCTGCAGTCCTTTCCAGCTTGGAATCTGTGATTCTAAGATTTTACAATTCTAGGATGGGGACAGGGCCCGCCTTACCATTACTTAGGGGAGCCAGCAAGTGCTGCAACGAGCTTTTTTGCTTTCCCAGTGGTTCCTTGGCCCAAGCTAAAGAGAGGTCCTAAGTATGGAGGGCTATAAACAGTTTTCACTGAGCCAGAAGCTCTGGGAGGTCCTTTGCCCACCTGGTGAAGGAGTCTGGGGGGCTCAGTGTGCTGCAGGCAGGCGGGCAGGGCAGCTGACTCTACCTGCTTCTGGAGCCAATCACTGGCTTCTAGTGAGATTTCAAAAGTTCCCAGAATATAAACCAGCTTTGTGGTAGGGCTGAGCCAACTGTTATAGCTCATAAGCCACTGGCTGGAGGCTTTTTAAGATGCATAGACTCACACAGAGATGGAGGAGGACGGGGATTTGTGTGGAGTTGTAATAAGAGACAAAACTGTGAGATTCCTCCTTCCACCCATCCCCCGCAGGAACTTGCCTGGGGAAACAGGGTAGGGGTGGGGGTCTAAGCCACCATCCAAAAATATTACCAGAATGTTGTTCTGAGGTCAAAAAGCAGTCCACAGAGGTAACCAGTCCAGAGTTAGACTAGAATCCATGGAAGTAAGGGTTCTTAACCATGACCTTATTTTTAAAAAATATTTTGATAGCTATATTTCAATATAATTGGTTTCTTTTGTAATTCCACGTATTTTACCATATGCATTTAAAAATTTTCTGAGAAGGGGTCCCTAGGCTTCGCCAGACTGGCAAAGAAATCTATGACCCCCTCAAAAGTTGAGACCCCCTCTGTTAGAGGGAGTCCGAAGCAAGGGGCCCAAAAGTCATAGAATCATAGATTCAGAGCTGGAAAGGTGCTCAGAGCTCAACCCCCCTGATTTTGAAGATAAGGAAAATGAAGCTAAAGACATGAAGTACCATAGGATCTCACAGGCAGTAAGGGGCAGAGTTGGGATTCGAACCCAGGTTCTCTGCTGCCATATCCCATGCCCTTTCCCTTGTGCCAAGGAGGAAGAAAAAGAAAAGGCTTCCATGGATGGGTTTTTCCTCATACAACTTCCTCCCTGGCGGCAGTATTTGAGCCCTGCTCCTTTCATGATAAGCTGTGTTATCCTTATCACGAGACCAGGTATCTGTGTCACCATTTTACTTGAGGAATTAATGAACCGCCTTTCAAGAGTGATATTCTAAAAATTCTGACCCCGCTAATTCTTGAGTGTCATAGGGCAGATGGTGGGGATGTGGTCTTTGCAGAGGAAGGGACTCATTAAGGAAAGAACACTATCAGGTGGGGCTCTTTGAAGTGGTAGGCAAGGGGACTCATGACAGTAATAGTCATTATTATTCATTATTACTAAAAAGCCTCCTTGGTCTGCGTGCCAGTCCCCATTCCACTCAGGGTAATGAAGAGTCGGAAGTATGGTTGAGTCTTCCAATAGGAGTCATAACTATACTTCTCCCCCAACAATAAATCAACCACCACATTGGGTGTAAGCCTCAGGGTACAACTTGGGGCCACAGAGCATGGTGTAAAGGAAAGAACATTACATTTTGAGTTCTAGAACCCAGTTTTGCTACTTATTACCCATTACGACCTTGAGCAAGTCATTTCAATCAATTCGTCGATCGCTTCTCTGGACCCCAGTTTCTTCATCAATTAAGGGGGTTAGACTAGATGTCCTCTGAGATCCCTTTCAGCTCTCCGAGGTTCGTTCATACACAGTTGTTCGCATGTTGTCTCTCCCATCAGACTGTGGACTCCTCGAGGGGGTGGATTGTTTTGCCTTTCTTTGCATCCCTGAGCACTTAGCCCAGTGCCTGGTATGTGGCAAATGCTTAATAAATACTTGTTGATTTGATGGCTCGACGTAAGTCTATTTCAGTTCTAGATCTATGATTCTTTGAGAAGCGGGAGCAGGATATGGTTACCATGGGAGAAATATGCAGTTAGGATAGCTGGATGCAAAAAAGGTCATCCTATATAGGCAACTAGGTGGCACAGTGGATAGAGTACTGGGCCTGGAGTCAGCAGGGCTCAGCTTCATGAGTTCTAATCTGGCTAGCTGTGTGACCCTGGGCAAGTCACTTAACCCCATTTGCTTCGGTTTCCTCATCTATAAAATGAGTTGGAGGAGGAAATGGCAACTACTTCAGTATCTTTGCCAAGAAAACCCCAAATGGGGTCATGAAGAGTAGGACACAACTGAAAAATGACTGAACAATCTTATATACACACACAATTCTCTCTCTCTCTCCTCATTGCACTCAGGTCTGAAACACCAATTTGCCCCTGTCACCTTCTTTCTCCCCCATCCTCTCTTACCTTAAGCCCTGGATAGATGATGAAAGCTGTGTGATTCAGCTCCACATACAGGGACCTAGGTCTTGTGTTTGACTGGTTCAGTAAAAACATGAAGGAGTTGTGAGCAAAGTCTTTGGCGAGTAACAGGCTGCATTTGGAGGTAAGGTCATAGGCCTGTCCATCGAATGTCACCACGTGTCTGTCCCCAATCATCACTGCATGGTCTGGTGGAGAAGAGGCACAAAGCCAGTGTTATGTTCTGGGCACATTCAGTTATCAACACTTGAACTTTTAGGTCCTGGGGTGTGACTAGGAAAAGGAGTCGCCGCTGGGATACGGGGTTGCCCTGGTGATGAGCTGCCCTGGCTACCAACTGAGCACTTGAGGAAACCTGCAGGGTTTTGTCTTTAAGTCCACAGCCTCACACAGCAGGTGAGAGAACTGCAATGGACTTTAGAGATCAGAACTTCTCACTCAAACTTTTCTTTTATGGGGAAGGAAATGGGGATCTCTGCAGCTTGACAGCTGAAACCTCACACTGATTTGTCACCTTACAGCTGACAAAGCACCAAGTTTTATTTGGTCGATGGTGCAGAATCCACCATGGTTCTTTGGCTCGTAGGTGTCAGATTTCAAGTGGTCGGACTGCCAGGACACTATGTTGAGCCCTTTTGCTATGTCCCTCACCCTCTTACACCCATGAGCCACATCCTGGATCCCCAAAATAGAAAACCCAGCAGCACTCAGGACTTGAAAGTGATTTGATTGTATTTCAAGGATGTTCCCAGATGTTGATTCTGGTGCTGACTTCTCCTCTTCTCCCCCTCCTCCCTGACTTCCTGACTTTGGGTCAGTTCAGTCCTTCTTGACAGGAGGGTAGAGGGCAAGGCAGGAAAGGGAAACTGTCCAGACCCCCTATCAAATCCCATGTCAGCAGCTCTGGAGGTTTTGTGGTGGTGGATGGAAGGCTAGGATGATTTTGGGAGAAGTTACACCTCAGGTTGCTTTTACTGAGCATCTTTTCCTTTTCCACTACAATTAGCAGGTGGGCCTGAGGCTCCCTGGAGTAGAACGACCCTGGAAGTCAGTCTTAGGACTATGAACTGTCTTGTCTCAGTCACTAATCATTTCAAGGGCATAATTCTTATCTCCACAATTGAACCAAGCTCTTCCAGGGCAGGGCGGCAAGAGAGGCAGTACAGTTAGGTACTATCAGAAGTCCTGGGTTCAAATTTCACCCCTATAATTTGTAATCTGTGTGATCTTGGGCAAGATCCTTACAAATGATAGATTCAGAGCTAAAAGGGACCAAAGATGGCTTTCGTTTTACAGATGAAGAAAATGAGGCCCAGAGAGGTTAAACAACTTGCCCAGGGTAACACATCTAGTGTCTGAGGTTGGAGGAAAACCCAAGTCTTCCTGATTTCAAGTTCAATACCCCACCTCTTTCAATCTCTTACTTTAACTTTGCCACGCCTCAGTTTCCTCTCCTGTAAAATGAGGGAAATAGACTCAATGCCCTTTAATGTCCTTTCCAGTCTATGATCCTAATATTTATTAGTGGTGTGACTTTGAGTAAGTCAATTAACTTCTGCATGCCTCAGTTTTCCACATCTGTATACCATAGATAATTATACCTAGACCACCTTCACGTTATGAGTAGTAAATGAGTTAATGCATGCAACATGGTTCCCAGTGGGTAAGTACCATGTAAACTGTGAGCTACTTTTCTTTCCCTGTATTTCCCTCTGCACTGGGTGGTACAGTTTTATAACAAGTCACTTAATTTTCCTGGGCCTCAGTTTCCTCATCTGCAGATGGTTGGGGTAGATAACCTCTGATGCTCTTCCTAGCTGTAAATCTTATGCTCCTATCCTCTGCCATCTTCAAAAAAGGAAGGAAAAGAACATAAACTCAAAAAGGGAGTGACTCTAATACACTAACACGCCCTCCATAAACGTGTGCCGCCTCAACTTTACGACTGGCCAATCACCGACGGGAAACACAGCGAGAGGCCCCCTGAGGGAGGTGGTGTCCATTCCGTTTCTGAATCAGTTGGGGCTCCCACATGATGTGGTTACAGTGGTTGAAGTGCAGACAGAGACCATTCATTCTCAAGCAAGAAAATAAAAATCCCAACTCCTCCCTTAAACCAAGTGTCCCTGGAGGCACCATTTTCTAAACCTCATTGGTCCTTTCCCAGGAAGGGGTCGGGCTCTGCTCTTGCTTCTCAATCTGCAGCCCCCTGGGCCTGGGGGTGGGGGGGGTGGGGTTGAGTCTGGATTTAATTATTATTCGTTTGGCCTTTCTGACTTCCTGCTTTTAAAAAAAGGCTCTTCTTGGTTCTGTGTATTATATGAGCCCCGCCTTCGATCCCTCAATTTCCTTTGGAATCAGAGGGGTCTTTTGGGCTTTTGGAGCCAGCGCACTCCAAGGCTTGGGAGGAGGTCTAACTTCTGTTCTCTGCTGCCTTCCGCTGCTGGGGACTCTACTTTCTCACTCTTTCCACCCCTCCAACCTTGGCCTTTGGGCCTGTGCAAGAAAACCCTCTCCGTCATGCATTTAAAGCAAGGGTCCTCAACGTGGGGTCTGTGACCTCATTATTTTAAAAAATATTTTGACAACTATATTTCAACATAATTGGTCTCTTTTATAATCCTATGGATTTTATTTTAGGCATTTAAAAACATTATTCTGAGAAGGGGTCCGTAGATTCCATAGAACTGCTGAAGGGTCCGTGAAATGGCAAAGGTTATGAATCCTATTTTAGTGGTCAGCCCAGTTCTGAGCACTCAAAAAACAACCAGTCCCATTTGTGACTAGATGCAACTATGGAAAAGTTACATAAGCTTTCTGCGCCTCAGTCTCATCTGTCAAATAAAGGGGTTGGATTCAACGGTCCTTAAGGCTCTAAATTCATGGTCTTATGAACTTTGGGGCCTGGGAGTCAGAAGGCCTGGGTTCTCTTCTAGGGCACATTTCATCTCTCTGGGTCTCGGGGTTCCTCCTCTGTAAATGAGGAGGATTCAGTTTTCTCCTCTAACACATGAGAGGATTGGACTCAAAGTTCCCTTCCTAAAGTTCTCAGCTTTAGGTCTATGAACCTTTAAGTCTGCTGCTTTGCTGTTACGTCACCAAATACATTACTTGCCTTCTTTCCCCCCTCTTGATAGATCACTACTGACTTTTTTCTTAAAGGGCCAGGATAAATGGAGTAGAGGGGGATGGGAAAGACTCCTTAAAGCCCTTGAGAAACCAAGGAAGGGGGAAGACGGGAGGGTCTCACGTTCAAAAGGGTTCTCCAGCAGCCGATGCTTGATCCGGTAGTACTCCGCCAGGAGATTGATGCCGTACAGCTCACGAAGGGGCTGTAGCAGCTTCTCTTCGATCAGATAGCTAGTCACTTTGGCCAAGTCCGTTGGCTGATCCCCTCCTGGCAGCACTGGAAGCCTTATCATCACAGAGCAGTTCCTAAAGGGGACACACAGAGACCCCTGAGACGCGGATCAGGACCTGCCTGAATCAGAATCAGAGGTTCGTAGAACCTTAAAAGTCGGAAGGGACCTCAGAAGCCAATGCCTAGCTGAATGGGAATCACTTCTACCAAATCCCCACCAAGTAAACCTGCAGCTTCGACCTGAAGATTTCGAGTGATGGGAGAGAGGCAGTTAAGTGGCTCAGTGGACTGGAGTCAAGGGGAACTGAGTTCAAATCCAGCCCAAGACACTTACTAACTGTGTAACCCTGGGCAAGTCACTTAACCTCAGTTTGTCTGTTTTTTCAGGGTTATTATCAATTTCCTCTGCTATAAAATGGGAATATAGACAGCACTCACCTTGCGGGGTTGTTGTAAGGAAATGAGATAATATTTGTAAAGCTCTTAGCAGTGCCTGGCACATTGTAGCTGCTATATAATTGCTTTTTCCCTTCCCCTTATTCCCCGATGGGGAGGGATTCTCCCTATGTGCTTCCAAGTCCCTCCCCTCCATTCAGTTCAATTACAATTAACAAGTATTTACTGAACACCACCTACTATGTGCCAGGCACGGGTGCTAAGCATGGGCACTGTGAAGGATCACACCACCCACAACTCTCTTAGTTCTTTGTCTTTTCATTCTGGAAAAAAAAATGAATGAAAAGCTTGGATGACTGAAAAAGCATTTATTAAGAAATGATGGTGTGCCAAACACTGCATTAAATTCCGAGGCTGTAAATTGAGCTCTCAATTTAGCTCTCCAGCTCTCAAGGAGCCCATGTTCTAGTAGGAAAATAATAGTTGCAGAATGGATGACGAAAGAAAGGAGGCAGGGAAAGGAAAAGGAAAAAGGAGGTCACCAGCCACTGTCCATTTAATTCAATTCAACCAGCATTCACTGAGTATCTACTAGGTACCAGAAACTCTGTGTTGGGGCTGCAGAGACAAAAACCAAAAAACCAAAAAAAAATAGTTTGTATTCTATTGGCATGTAGCCCAGTGAATCTTTTCCTCAGAGGGTATTGGATGGCCCCAGACAATAGGGTGGGAACAAGGGAAACCTTGTTTAGGGTTGAAGTCAATTAGTCAATAAACAAGAGAGAAGAAAAAAAAACCCAAAGGGAACTTATCTGGGGTTTGGCACCAGCAGAGGAGGGCAGGCATTTTCCTCTGGAGCAAAGGATGCTTTTTAGAACAAGTGACCCCCTGGTCTGCTATCTAGGACTCATAAAGTGGTGTCTGGGAGCCAATCTTTTCTTTCCAATGGAGCTGGCTCCTGGTTGCCACCTTCCCTGCTGATCTGTGGCTGCCTCAGCAGCTCAGTCCAAACTCTGTGGATCTAGGGACCCATGATAGATACAGTGGAAAGAAGTCTAACTAGAAAATGGAAGAGAGGGGTTCTCCCTGATTTTAGATTCAGCCTCAGATACTTACTAGCTGTGTGATGCTGAATAAGTCGCTAAACCTCTCCAAGACTCGGTTTTCTCATCTATGAAATGGGGATTATAATAATAATAGCATCTACCTCACAGGACTTTTGTGAGAATCAAATATCATATATAAAGCACTCCATAAATCTTAAAGCACTATATAAATGCTACCTATCATCATCATCATCACCACCACCAAGACCAAGACTACCACTACCACCACCCCCACCATCATCATCATCAACAACGGCGGTAATAATAAACCAAGCCACTCTTAAGCAATTCAACAACAAAATTCAATACACATTCATTCAACAACTGTAATATGGGACACACTGGGGTAGGTGTTGACCATATAGACAGATGACACAGACCTTGCCCTCAAGGAGATTGTGATGTAATGGGGAAAGGGACAAATATACTATGACATCATTATGGTAAAATGGAAACTCTTTAAGAGTCGGAATTGTTTCCTTCATTGGATTTTTTGTCCCTAGGGCCTAACAAAATACTCTTTGATTGACTGATTGAGAAGTGCTAGGTGCCAAGATAAAGTGACCCTGGGCAAGTCCCTTAACCTCTGTTTGTCTTAATCCACCAGAGAAGGAAATGGCAAATCACTCCAGTATCTTTGCCAAAAAAACCTCATGGAAAGCATTGGTGCAATATGGTCAATGGGTCATGAAGAGTGGGACACAACTGAACAACAATAACAAGTATAAAGGTGTGGACCAAAGTGTTCCAAGACATATAGGGAGGGAAAGGTTACTTGCTTTTAAAACAATTTTTATTTTGCCTTTGTATCACCTTCATTTCCAAATATATCTCTTTTCCAATCTAGTCTCTCCAAAAGCATCAATGATCTCTTAATAGCCAAATCTAATGGATTAATGGACAGCCTTTTCTCAGACCTCATCCTTCTTGACCTCTCTGGAGCTTTCAGTACTATCAACCACCCTCTTCCGCCTGATACGTTCTTCTCTTTAGGTTTCTGTGACATTAATCTATCTTGATTTTCTTTCTACCTGTCTGACCCCAGTCTCCTTTACTAGATCTTCACTGAGGTTGGGCCTACTAACCATAGGTGTCTGCCAAGGCTAGGTCCTGTGCCCTCTTCTCTCCTCCCTCTATATTATTTTGTTTGGTGACCTCATCAGCTTCCATAGATTCAATGATCACCTCTACGCAGGTGATTTTTAGGTCCACTCATCCTGCGCTAACTTCTCCGCTGACCTCCATTCTTGCATCTCCAATTGCCTATTGGACATCCCTAGCTGGATGTCTCACCGACACCTTGAGTTCAACCTTTCAACATTAAACTCATTCTCTTTCCTTTCAAGCTCTCCCCCTTCCTTTCTTCTTGTTACCATTGAGGGTACCACCATCTTCCAGTCTCTCAGGCTTTCAACCTAGCTGTCATCCTCAATTCCTTATTCTTTCTCCCTATCCCCCATACCCAATCTGTTGTTAAAGCCTATTCAATTTATTTTTGTAATATCTCTCCTATACATCCCCTTCTCTCCTCCAACACTGCCACCACCCTGATGCAGGCCCTCATCACCCCGCACCTGAACTATTGCAAGAGCCTTTTGGCTGGTCTCCCTACTTCTAGTCTCTTCCCACTCTGGACCATCCTCCATTTAGCTGGCAAAATGATCTTTCTAAAGTGCATATCTGAGATCCACATGTACAAAAATATTTATAGCAACTCTTTCTGTGGTGGCAAAGAATTGGAAATTGAGGGGATGCCCATCAATTGGGGAATGGCTGAACAAGTGGTGGTATATGAATGTAATGGAATACTATTGTGCTATAAGAAATGATGAGCAGGTGGACTTCAAAAAAACCTGGAAAGACTTGTATGAACTGATGCTGAGTGAAGTGAGCAGAACCAGGAGAACGTTGTACACAGTAGCGGCCATGTTGTGCGATGACTAACTTTGATAGACTTGGCTCTTCACAGCAATATAAGAATCTAAGACATCTCCAAAAATCTCATGAGGGAAAATGCTATCCACATCCAGAGAAAGAACTATGGAGTTTGAATTTAGATTGAAGCATACTATTTGCTCTTTTTTTTCTTCTGTTTTGTTTTGTTTCTTCTTTCTTGTGGTTCCTCTTATGGGTTCTAATTCTTCTTTACAGCATGGCTAATGTGAAAATATGTTTAATAGGAAGGTACATGTGTAAGGCTTATATCAGATTTCATGCCATCATGGGAAGGGAGGTGGGGAGGGAGGGGGAGAAAATTTAAAACTCAAAAGCTTTTGGAAGTGATTGTTGAAAACTAAAAATTAATTAATTAATTATTAAAAAAAGACTAAGGGGCAAGATTGAGAAATACCCAAGTTCCCCAAGTCCAGCACCCTTTCCACTATGCCTTGTCAATCAAGGCCTTTTCTTATGCCTTACTGTTATATAGAATTGGCCTTGGGTCCTTGAAAGCCAATGCCCATGGAGTGACTGATAGGATAGATCCCACCACAGCCCAAGATCAGCATCCAGACTACTGTAATCATCCTTGAAATTAATTTAAATGGGGGCAGCTAAGCAGTGCAGTGGATAGAGCTTTGGAGTCAGGAGGATCTGAGTTCAAATCCAGCCTCAGACACATAACACTTATTAGCTGTGTGACCCTGGGTAAGTCGCTTAACCCCCACTGCCTAGCCCCCCCCCCCGAAAAAAAGAAATTAATTTAAATGATGTAACCTTTAAGGGTAGGTTCTCTAACTAGACATTTCAAAGAGATACAGCATAAAGCACATATCTGGTAGAGTTCTCTTTTTAAAAATAAAAAATGTTGCTGTAATCATGGAGTAAAAATATAACCTGTCTTAAGCCATGATTTGTTTTATTGGTCGATGGGAAAAGGCAAAGCTCAGTTTTCAAAATGAACTTCAAAACAAATTTGTTACAGGTTCATGAAATAAATGTCAATTTTCAATTTTCAAATCTAAAAAATAAATAAATAAATAAAGTGCATGTCTGACCATGCCACCTTTGTAATCAAACTCCACTGGCTCCCTATTACCACCAAGGTCAAATATAAAATCCTCTTTGTCTTTAAAGCCATTCATAAGTAGGCCCCTTCCAAACTTTCCAGTCTTTTTACACCTTACACATTTTACACATATTTTGTCATCCAATGACATTGGTCCATTTGCTGTTCACTGACACACAAGACATATCATCTCCCTAATCTGGGCATTTTCACTGTTTGTTCCCCATACCTAGAATCCTCATCCTCATCATCTCTGCTTCCTGGGTTCCTTCAAGACCCATCTAAAATTCTACCTTCTATAAGAGTCCTTTCCTGATTTCCTTTAATATTAGTGCTTTTCCTCAGTTGATTATTTTCAGACTATCCTTCATACATCTTGTTTGTACATAGTAGTTTACATGTTGTCTCTCCCATTAGACTGTGACCTCCTTGAGGGCAGGGACTGTTCTTTGTTCTTGTTCTTGTCTTGCCTGTCCTTGTATTCCCTCATGTTTAGTAAGGTGCCTGCGCTTAGTAAATGCTTGTTGATTTATTGACTCCTCCCTACCCAGACAGCCATCCTTTGTAACAAAGAGTAAAGAAAAGAGGAAGAAAAAACCATTTAGCAAAACTAACACGTCAGCTGAGTCTGACAGTCTATGTACAATTCTACACCCACAGTCCCCCATTTCTGGAAAAAAAAAAGAGAGTAGCATGTGTCATCTCTTCTTCAGGGCCATGCTTGGTCATTATGGTTACAAAGACTTCAGCTTCTTTTTTTATTCTGGTAAAGACCACTTTCACCTGAGTAGTTAGGGAAGGCTCTATTGATTAGGTGGTGATGATTTGAGCCTTGAAAGGTAGGTTTTCAATGATGAAGAAAAAAGGAGGAAAACTTATTCCCTGCGTGGGCAAAGTTCTGGAGATGAGAAAGGTCAGGAAGGGAACAAGGAATAGAGAATGAGCACAGGTTAGCTGGAACATTGGCTACGGGAAGAGAAGAAGGATGAGTAAAAGCTGGAGGCAGATTGGGGGAGAGCCTTGAATGCTGAGATTAAGAATTCATCCTTTAATCTAAGACACCTCCAAAAGTCTCATGATGGAAAATGCTATCCACATCCAGAGAAAGAACTATGGAGTTGAAATGCAGATTGAAGCATACGATTTGCTCTTTTTTTTTCTTCTGATTTGCTTTGTTTCCTCTTTCTTGTGGTTCCTCCTATTGGTTCTAATTCTTCCTTACAACGTGACTAATGTGAAAATATGTTTAATAGGAATGTATATGTAGATCCTATATCAGATCCATCTTAGGGAGGGAGGTAGGGAGGAAGGGGGGAAAAATTTAAAACTCAAAAGCATATGGAAGCGATTGTTGAAAACTAAAAATAAATTAATAAAAAAAAGAAAGAATTTATCTTTTATTCAATAGTGAGTAAGTGATGCATTAAGATCATTTGGGCAATGGTATGGAGAATGGACTGGGGAGGGGGTACCTCTCTGGCTTTCAGCTTCTTAGGTCAAATGGGGAAAACTATGGCTGCTCTGACTAGCAGACAAGAGTGCTGTGGGGTTTAAATTAAATAACAGATGAGAGGGGCAGCAAGGGGTAGCGTGAAAGACAGAAAATTGGCCTCCAGGAAGACCTGGGCTCAAATCCCACCTCTGACACATACTAGCTGTGTGACCTTGGGAAAATCCTAGGCAGCTGTCTACAACTATTACATAGCTGAATGAATACTGATCTTCAGGGCAGAGGAAATTTCCCCTCCAAGAGTTGCTGGTCCAGAACAACAATAACAAAATGCCTCTTTCACTTCCATTACCTTGCGGAGAAGCTGTAAATACTGGACAAGGGTTTCCGTATTCTTCTTATTGCTCTGGAGAACTTGGCTTCGGCCCACTTCAGTATCTGGTGGGCAGTCTGGTAAAGAAGGGGCCAAAACAGCCACAGTAAGAAATGAGTCTCCCATTCCCTCCAGTTATGGTTCTTGTGGTTGCCCCCTCACTCCCAGGACACTCAGCTATTAGCCTAATAGGGTACCTGAGCCACAACCCATTGTCCATCCCTGAAGGAGGTGGGGAAGGGGTGGGAGGAGACGGATTTTGTCTGGGACTTACCAGATCTAGGGCACCCTTCACAGCTTGCAGAGACAGCAGGATTGGCCTCATGAGCCAAGTGTCCTTCATCCCTGAGGGCACATAGGCCTGCATCCTCCTCATAGCCTCCTCAGTCCTCTCCTGCCATACCTCATCCAGGGGTTTGAGTGTGACTTCGTAGTAGGCATCCTTCAGCGTGGCTAATGGCTCTGCAAGAGTTAGCCATCCTAGCCTTCCAGCTGGAGACCTCTTGGAGCTCCCCTGAGTGGGGGGACAGCAAACCTTCCCAAGCCCTGTCCTACTCAGACAGGGGTGGGGAACCTGAGGCCTCCTCACTGTCCTTGGGTGCGGCCTTTTGCCTGAGTCCAAGTTTTACAGAACAAATACAGAATAAATTAAGGGGATTTGTTCTGTGAAGTTTGGATTCAGTCAAAGGGATACATGTGAGGATCTGGAGGGCCACACGTGGCCTTGAGGTCGCAGGTTCCCCACCCTTGTTACTAAGGCCTCTCAAAGAACTTGAAGCCAGGAGTCCCAAGGCCTGGGCACTCAGCAACAAACAAGCGCTGGTCTGAATACCCAGAGCCTAGAGTAATCCAGGAAGTCAATGTAAAGGCAATCATTTATTCTCTCCCTCTCCTTTCTCTTCTCTGCTTGGTTCCCAGGAGATTCTGTAGGGAATGTTGGGGGGCAGACAGGGGAACAAAATGAGGAGGAGTCAGGGAATAGTCACTTACTTTGCAGCTCACTCTGCGTCTGTTCCATAACAGTCTGGAGTCTCTCCAGGTGCAGGGGGAGGTGATGTCTCAGCACCTGCCTGGCTGAGCTTTGCCTCCATAGTCCAGCTGCTGCTCTACCCCCTGCCTGGAGCGCTCTCACAGCAGCCTGGGACATCTGCAGGACCCAGCCAGCTGCACTGTCCAGGAAGTCAATCTGTTGCACCTGCCAGCCCGGAGAGGAAATCCCCCATCAGCAGCCCTGAAGGCTAGAGAATCTTCTCTGGCCCCTTCACCCTCCTAAGAACTCAGGCCTGGGGCTTCTGGGAAGTTTTGGCCCCATTCCCAGGGCACCAGAGCCTTAATCTGGTATAACTTTAGATATGGAGAAGGTTCCTTTTATCTAACAAAGAGTCGAGTTAGTGTGGGTTAAGGGATTTTCCATCCACGGGGCCACTCCCTGATTCAGAGAGCTCTGCCCTGGACTTCAGAGATAGGGCACCAGTTTACAGAAAATGGCAACCCCCCTCCCAACTCCTTATATCTTTCCAGTAACCCACAGTTCCTCTGATACCTTATATCTCCCTCTTATTTTCCCCTAGCCCCTAAATATTTCTCCTCCCTTTACCCCACATCCCACCTAAGTCCATATGTCAATCAACCACCCAATTCTCCCACTATTTCCATAGCTAGGCAAGGTAACAGGGCTAATATTTTCATGCTCTCTGAGACAATCTCACCCTCAATAGAAGGCAGAATAAAAGCAAAATCAAGCTGAATGAAAGAGGAAGCATGGTTGAAACTTTGATGCCGTGTTACTAAAGCTAGGATTCTTCCTCAGTGAGTGAGCTCAACCCCCAGAACCATCCAGCAATAGAAGAGGCCAGGCTTGGCCAGGCCAACGTACCACGTCCCGGAACTTCTGGAGATAGGAGTCAAACACCTGGAACTTCTCCACCAGTCTGGCTTGTAGGTGAGAGCCAACCTCAGCCAGTTTGGACTGTGGAAACATGAAAGCAGGACTGGGTGAGGTAGAGACAGCTGGAGCTGGGCTTGTTATGGGCTATATATCGAGGACTAGAGAGGCAAAGACTGAGGAGAGCCCAATAGGTTATGTGAATAACCCATTCTCTTCATCTATTTATCTACTTCAGGAAATATAGATAGATACAGAAGTAGATACACACACACACATATACATACATACACATATATATGTATATACAGATAGAGCTCAATGAACACTTTTCTGAAATCTACCTCTTCCATGAGTTGTAGATTATACTTTGAGTAGGGCTTCACTTAAGGTCCCCCCCCTTTGACATGTAGTGAGAAGCTTGGGCAGGTTTACCTCCAATTATATATGTATATATATGTGTACATAAATTCCCCCAAGAATATATAGAAATATGCTATTTTTCACATTTTATTGTTATATAATATATGTGTATATGTATTTGTATGTGTATATATACATATATACATACACACATATATGTATATATGTATGTATGTATTCTTGGGGGAATCTGTAGGTGTTAAATATTTAGCTCTTTTCTATCAGAAGGAGACGGGATGTATAGGAAGCAGGAGTTTATGTGACACTTTCCCCTTGGCAATTTTCATCTATTCAGATGGACCTGTGACTTCATTGATTTGGGAAATTCTTTCAACAATGCAGTGCAGACTGCCACCCAGCTGTGCCTCTCTATGCTGTGTAACTGTTGTCCATGATGTCCCAAAAGTTTGCCCCAGGGGCATATCCTTAAGGGGAAGTTCTAGACATGGTAGTTTGGAGAGAGAGAGTGGCATTAAAAATTGGACTTTGTTTGCTTAAACTTTAACACTCCCAATTAATTATTTAATTGTATTCATATAATATTATGTAATGATGTATAATATACTCTAATAATAATTAATTAATCAAATGAGTCAATAATGTTACAAACAATAATCCCTTATACCTGGATATTCCTTTTGTTTCCCGACTTTCACAGCAATTATCCCACCCTGTCCTCATCCTCTCCCCAGCCTGGGTAGGTACGAAGGTTAGGGAAGTATTCTCCCCATTGGACAATTAAGGAAAAGAAGGCCCAAAGAGGTGGGCTGACTTCTCCAATGTATTCTAGATCACATAAGAGGTGATAGAGCAGAAAGCTGAGCCCCAATCTACTTTCTCCTAGCCCAGGTGTCTTCTAATTTAGACCATCTACTTATTTCTCAGAAGCCAAAATGGCGGGGGGTGATGAGAAAGGAACGGGAAACTACCTGCCCACCACTAACAAAGATGGAAAATATGTCAAGAAAAACCAAAGATTATGCCTTTGCCATCTCTGAGTCTTGACTCTTCAAACTACACTTCCTTCTCCTCATCTGATATATCGCCCCTTTCCCAAGCCTCTGCCCTGGGGCCTTCCTCTCCTGATTGGTGACTGTTCTCATCAGGACCACCATTTTAGGAAAGACTTCAGCCCTGCTTCACATCTCTCTTGTCTCAACCCTACTCCTTACTCATTTACTAGCATCCTTATATGAGTTGTTCTCCGACATTACAGTGAAAGCTTCTTGAAGGAAGGGACCATCTTGCTTGATTATATTTGTACCCCTGGCACTTAGCCCAGTGCCCGGCACTAATAAATGCTATGTTTTCTGAAATCTACCCCTTTGGAGTCATAGATTCAAAATGAGCCGCCTCCCTCTGCTCTTTGTTGGGCCCCGCTCCAGGACACACACCCCTACCCCTCCCTTGACATGTAGTACAAGGAGGGGCCTGTGCAAGCTTACCTCCACATTCCCAATGGGGGTGATGCAGCCATGTGCAGCCAGGCTCAGACTCTGGTTGGCAGCCCTGAGGATCAGCTGGCCCAAGTGTTCATTTTGCCCACCACTGACACGAAGCATGGCCTCAGCCTTGGCCACCTGCCTTCTGTCGGAGCAGGCACTGATCTCCACACCCTCCTCCTTTGTCCCTAAGGCAAAAAAACCCCAACCCAACCCAAACCAAAACAAACCAAAACAAAAAAGCAAATTAATTCAGTAGGATGCTTCTCATTTGGCTGCTCTGACACTGGCCCCTGAAGGGGGACAGGCCATACTCATAATACGTTGGATATAAACTATCGAACATGTATATACACAGATATAGATATATACAATGTAGATATAAGATAATTTTTGGGGAGGAGAGGGCACTAGCATAGTAGTGTGTGTGTGTGTGTGTGTGTGTGTGTGTGTGTGTGTGTGTGTGTGT